CCTCCCAAGGCATGGGATTACAAACTGAGGCACCGAGCCCAGCTGTTTCTGGATTTTTAAAAATTTTTTTTCATCAGAGGGAGAAATAGCAAAGTAAATTGTGGGGCAGAAGGAACTTGGTCTGCTTTTACTGAATGATTTTTCTCTTGGTTATGGATCACATTTTCCTGCTTCTTGGCATGACTAGTAATTTTTTTAAATTGGAAACTGGATGCTGTGAATTTTATGTTGAGTAACTATTTTGTTTTGTTTTTTCATTCCTTTAAAGAGTGTTTGACTTTGTTTTAGTTGGTGGTTAAGTTACTTTTGGTTCAGATTGCTCTGTCTGAGTCTGGTTTGACTTAGGGTTAGTCCAGAGTAGCCTTTAGTCTACAGAATAACTTACCCCTCTAGTAAAGCACGATCCTTTTGAGGTCTGTACATGACCAACAATAACTCCACTCTGGTTGGTTAGAACTCAATTTGTTTTCAAGTCCTGTGTAAGTTCTCATAACTGTTCAACTCTGGGTCTTCACTGCCTCGTGGTACTTGGTTGGTCTTGTGAAGTTTGACTTTGTGAATGTGTGTCTTGGTGTTCAACAAAGAGAAAGAGAATCTTATGCAGGTTTCTGGAGGTCTCTCTCTGCATAACTCCCTCCTCTCCAGAACTTTGTCCAGCAACTTCCAGCCACCTCATCCTCTCTGAACTCTGTCACAACAACTTAGGAAGACCACCTGCTTGGTATCTCTTTGCTCTATATCTGGAAGTTTCCTCCAGGAAGAAATATGGGACATATAGAATTTACTTCTTTTGTTTCCCTTTTCTCTGTGATTACACTCCTGAGTTACCTGTTATCTAATGCCTGAAAACATTTTTCATATATTTTGTCTAGTTTTCTAGTTATTTATGTTGTGAGGATAAATCTGGTTTCTGTTACTCCATCATGACCAGAAGCACAAAAATCTGACTAATTCTTGCTCAGCCTTCAGGTCTCCGATTGGAAGTCATTTCCTTTAGGAAGCCTTCCTGAACCCCAGGCTTGATTAAGTCTCCCATGAGCTCCCATAGTATCTTATCAGGGTGCTTATCACTCTATATTGCAACTGCTGTTTCATTTGTCTGTATCTGTCAGAAAACTATATATGTTTCAAGGGCAGAATCATGTCTACCTTGCTATAAGGCCCCAGTACTCATCACAATGCTTGGTGTATAGCATGCACTCAATAAATAGCCATTACATAAATGAATGCTGAGTAAGATGAGCTACAGATCAAGGAAGCAAAGGGAAAGTCGAGATCTTAAGGTGAAAGGGCTAACTTAGGCACTATTTATTTGTAAAAAGGTATGGAAGGACCAAAATTGTTAACAGTGGTTATCCATTGGCAGTAGGAGACGTGAGAGGGTATTGAGGTTTATTTTTCTTTTTGCTCTTTCTCTCTTTCTTTTCTTTTTTGTTTTTTTGGTTTTTTTTGAGTTGGAGTCTCACTCCGTCGTCCAGGCTGGAGTGCAGAAGCACACTCATGGCCACCCCAGCGTTGATCAACTGGGCTCCGGCGATCCTTCCACCTCAGCCTTCCAAGTAGCTGTAACTACAGGCGTGCACCTTGTCTCTACAATATATCAAAAAAATTAGCTGGGCATGGTAGCACGTGCCTGTAGTTCTGGCTACTTGGAAGGCTGAGGTGGAAGAATCACCTGAGCCCAGCAGGTCGAGGCAGTGGTGGCCGTGAACGTGCCACTGCACTCCAGCCTGGGAGATGGAGTGAGACTCCAACTCAAAACAACAACAACAACAACAAAACAAAAAAGGTAGGTGCTATTTGAGGAACATTTTGGATGATAGAAATGTTCCTTATGAGGGGGTGGTGGTTATATATGGCAAAGTACCTCGAAATATATGTTTCAAAAGTGCAAATTTTACTCTATGTCAATTATTCTTCAATAAAGTTGATTTTGTTAAAGAAAGAAACAGGCTGGGCTCAGTGGCTCAGCCTGTGATCCCAGCACTTTGGGAGGCCAAGTTGAGTGAATTGCCTGAGCCCGTGGGTTCAAGACCAGTCCGGGCAACTTTGTGAGACCTCGTCTCTACAATAAATTTTAAAAAAATTAACTGGGCATGATAGCATGTGCCTGTAGTTCCGTCTACTTAGAAAGCTGAGGCGGAAAGATTGCCTGAGCCCAGCAGGTTGAGGCTGAGGTGGTCATGAGTGTGCTACTGCTCTCCAGCCTGGGCAACAGAGTGAGACTAACAAAAAAAAAAAGAATCAACTATATAAACACATAGAGCTATTTCCTCATCTTTGTGACCCTTCAAAACAGAAGATATTTCCATCATATGTGGAATCTTCTTAAATTCAATAATTTAAAAAGAAACACTTTTTAAATCAGGAAGAAAAACAATGAAAGAACCCACCGACAAAAGGATAAGGTAGCAATTCTTGAAGTGTGGTCTGGTGATCCATAAGGATTTCCAAGACTCTTTCAGGGGTTCCATGATTATTTTCATAATAATACTAAGACTCTGTTGGCATTTTTTACCTCATTGACATTTGCATTGATAATGGAAAAACAATGGCAGCCCTTAGCAAGAGTCAAAACAGTGACACTAAACTGTCCTAGTAGTTGTGTTTTGTTCCTCATCATTACATCATTTTCACTTAAGAAAGTCCTTAATGAAGCAGTAAAAAATCATTTTTCTTACATTTTGAGCTCATGTCTTTTTTAAAAAATAGACTTAATTTAAATTTTTTTTTTTTGAGTTGGAGTCTCACTCTGTCACCCAGGCTGGAGTGCAGTGTCATGTTCACAGCCACCACAGCCTCGACCTGCTGGGCTTAGGTGATCCTTCTGCCTCAGGCTTCCAAGTAGGGGGAACTACAGATGCATGCCACCACACCCGGCTAGTTTTTGTGATTTATTGTAGAGACAAGGTCTCACCAAGTTGCCCAGACTGGTCTCGAACCCCTGGGTTCAGGCAATCCTCTCACCTTGGCCTCCCAGAGTGCTGGGATTACAGGCTGAGCACTGCACCAGACTAGACTTTATTTTTAAAGTAAAGTAGATTTTATTTTTATTGTAATTTAGGTTCACGGCAAAACTGAGCATACGGTACAGAGATTTCACATATACCTCCTATCCCCACACATACAAGACCTCCCCCCATCAGCATCCAGCCGCAGAGTGGTATATTTGTCATAATCAATGAACCTACACTGACACATCATTGTCACCCAAAGTCCATAGTTTACATTGGAGTTCACTCTTGGTGTTGTGTGTTCAATGGGTTTGAACAGATGTATAATGACATGTAGCCACTATTATAGTATCATTCAGAATCATTTCACTGCCCTAAAAATCCTCTGTACTCCATCTATTCATTCTTCCTCCCCTCAACCCCTGGAAACCACTGATCTTTTTACTGTCCCCATAGTTTTGCCTTTTCCAGAAGGTCACATAGGTGGAATCATACAGTATATAGCCTTTCAATCAGCTTTTTATTTTTACTTATTTATTTATTTTTAATTTTTATTTATTTATTTATTTGAGTTGGAGTCCCACTCTATCGCCCAGGCTGGGGTGCGGTAGCACACTCATTGCCACCTGCTGGGCTCTGGCGATCCTTCGCCTCAGCCTTCCAAGTAGGCAGAACTACAGGCACATGCTACCATGCCTGACTAATTTTTATTTATTTATGGTAGAGATGAGGTCTTGCCAAGTTACCCGGGCTGGTCTCGAACCCACAGTCTTAGACAATCCACTCGCCTCAGCCTTCCAAAGTGCTGGGATTACAGGCTGAGCCACTGAACCTGGCCGATTATTTATTTATTTATTTAGTTTTTGAGTTGGAGTCTCACTCTCTTGCCCAGACTGGAGTGCAGAGGCTGCTCCCAGCCACCGCAGCCTCGACCTGCTGGGCTCCGGCGATCCTTCTGCCTCAGCCTTCCGAGTAGCTGGAACTAGAGGTGCACACTACCATGCCCGGCTAATTTTTGATTTATTGTAGAGATGAGGTCTCACCAAGTTTCCCAGGCGGGTCTCGAACCCGCGGGCTCAGGCAATCCACCCACCTCAGCCTCCCAAAGCACAGGATTACAGGCTGAGCCACCGAGCCTGGCTGTATGTGGCCTTTTATAACTGTGGCCTTTTATGACATGCTTTCAAGATTAATCCATGTTGTAAGATAAATTGGTACTTTGTTCCTCTTTATTGTCAAATAATATTGTATGATTATACCACATTTTACTTATTCATTCATCAGCTGAATGGAAACTTGGGTTGTTTTCACTTTGTGGCTATCATGAATATTGCTGCTATGAACATTCATGCTCATGTTTTTGTGTGGACTTGTTTTTTTATTTTTTCCTCGAGTGAGTTGGCTCAATTGTTTTCTCTTGGGAATAGACCTAGGAGTGTGCTGTGTCAGAAGATAACTCTATTAACATTTTATGGAACTATCAAATGGTTTTCCAAATCAGCTGCACCATTTTACATTCTTACCAATGATGTATATAATTTTGGGGGGGTTGGGTTTCACTCTGTCCAAGGCTGCAGTGCAGAGGCACGATTGCGGCTCACTGCAACTTCGACCACCTGGGCTCAGGTGATCCTTCCGCCTTAGCCTTCCTAGTAGCTAGACTACAGGTGTGCAGCACCACGCCTTGCTTTTTAAATTTCTTATAGAGACAGGGTCTCGCTGTGTTGCCTAGGCTGGTCCAGAACTCCTAGGCTCAAGCAACTCTCCCACCTTGGCCTCCTAAAGTGTTAGGATTACAGGAGTGAGCCACTGAGCCTAGTCTATATCATTTTTTGACATTAAACATGGACACACTTTAAATAACTCTAGTACTGCTTCAGGTAGAATATAGGTGTTTAGTAAACGTTTGTTGAATGGGACACTGAATGTGTGTTTTGAGTTAGGTGAGGAGAAAGTCTGGACATAGGAAATTGGAGGGGGGTGAGTGGAGTCCCTGATGGCACCAGCTGGTCAAGTCCCTCTGAGCCTCATGCAATTCCCAAATAGGGTCAACCAGACACTTCGGAGCCTGAGATTGACCTGGAGGCTCTCATGGAACTATCCACAGAGGAGCAGAAGACTCAGCTGGAGGTAGGATGGGGGGGTTGAGCCCTAGGTCTGAGGGCTGCAGGCTGGAAGTTGACCCTGGAACAAAGGGAACCCAGGACCCCAGGCTTTGCCTACTTGGGCAGAGTGGAGAGAACCAATCCAGAGGGGAGAATTCTTAGGAGACTGACTGGGGGCTTGTGGGAAAGTGCTGTGGCTTGGGGCCCACTCTCTGCTCTCTCCTACCTAGGTCATTCTTCGAAATTGCTCCCGCCCCACAGAGGTAAGGGATGTTTTTCTGGTCCTGGGGTAAGAAGAGGCTCAGAGGGGCAGGCAGCTAGTGAAGTGGAGTATTTGAAGGGAAACTTTGGCCCTGGGTCCTTCTTCTTTCCCCGGCTCTGGGGATAGGGTCAGAGGGAGATTAGAGATGGCAGTGTGGTGGGTGGATACGACCTCATTCCTTGATCCCATTTCTGTTTCTCCCTCAGCCTTTTATCTCTGAGCTGCTCAGTCAACTCAAGAAACTCCGGAGACTCAGTCGGCCTCAGAAATAAGCCTGAGAGACTCTCCTCAGCAGCCTCAGCACTGCCAGGCTGCCCTGAACCTCTCCATCCTAGCTGAGAAGAAAACTCCTTGAGACACAGACACAGAGGACAAAGAGAGACATTTGTACAACCCTTGTATATGTGCAGTCACAGCTAGTTTCTGTTAGCTGGGTACTCTGGGAGCCAATCACAGCTATTGTCCAATGCTTTCCTTGGCAGCCCAGTGGATAAAACATTTATGAGTACCAGCCAAATGGAACGTGGAGTATATCTGTACTGAGGGAAAGGGGAAGGGAGAGGATGACATGATACGTGGGAAGGCTAACATCCTATGTCACTAGGCTGTATCCACACTTCATCCATCTATCCATCCACCCACCCAAACAGGCCTTGATAATTCAAACATGAAGGCCACAGCTCTGCTTCAAAGAGATGACAATCTAGCAAGACTCAGAGATCAAGTAGAGGGCATCTGGATAAGACATAGAGTATCCTGGCATGACCAACAAGAGAGGCCCCAGTGGCAAAGACTAGTTTGAATCCCAGAGGAGATATAACAGGAAGAACCTAGCTGGATCTGGGGGCATCAGAGAAGGGAAGCCTCAGGCTAAGGACTCTTTTTTTTTTTTTTTTGAGTTGGAGTTTCACTCTGTAACCCAGGCTGGAGTGCAGTGGTACACTCATAGCCACCACAGCCTTGACCTGCTGGGCTCAGGCAACCCTTCTGCCTCAGCCTTCCAAGTAGCTGGAACCTCAGGCGCGCAACACATTTGGTGAATTTTTGGATTTATTGTGGAGATGAGGTCTTGCCAAGTTGCCCAGGCTAGTCTTGAACCCCTGGACTCAGGCAATCCTTTTGCCTTGGCCTCCCAAAGTTGGGATTATGGCATGAGCCACTGCGTGAGGCAGGACTCTTTTTTTTTGAGTTGGAGTCTCACTGCTTTGCTCAGGCTGGAGTGCAGTGGCACGCTCATGGCCACCCCAGCGCCGACCTGCTGGGCTCTAGCAATCCTTCCGCCTCAGCCTTCCAAGTAGCCAGAACTACAGGTGCACACTGCTGCACCCAGCTAAATTCTTACTTGTTGTAGAAACGAGATCTCGCCAAGTTTCCCAAGCTGATCTCAAATACGCAGGCTCGGGCAATCCTGAGTTTGGGCCTCAACTTCCCAAAGTGCTGGGATTACAGGCTGAACCACCGAGCCTGGCCAGGACTCAAGTTCCTTAAGTTGTTTCCAGTCAGAGGTAGGAAGAGAACAAGCAGAGGCTCTGCAGAGGCTAAAGAGTACAGGCTGAGAGGCTAGAAGTCAGGTCAGAGGGAGTTGCTGGAAGATGGACACTGGGTCTAACTGGCAGGCAGGTTGGGACAGGAGCACTAGGAAAGGAGGTTCTTTGTAAGGCAGGAAGTGGGATCTGTACGCATTGTTCCTGCATGCATTGCTTAAGTAGTAGAGAGGATGAGAAATCCAAGATGGTGAGGTTTAATAATGAGGCTGGCTGCTCAGAGCTGGAAGCACAGTTTAGTTCAGTGAATATTTATAATTATTTCGTATGAGGCCACCAGAATGGGTGGGATGCTTCCTGTCTGGAGAAGCTTAGAGGATGGCTCAACCTTTTCCCTCATTCCACAGGACTGCATTTACAGCCCACTTTGTTCTTGCCATCTCACAGGGCCCAGGCTCGGGGTCCACAGAGTCGTAAAAATAAAGAGATGCTGGGCCCAATGAATCAACATACTTTATTAGATCCACTCAGTGCCAGAGGAGAGCCCTGTGCCCTGGAGCCAGGTAATAGGGCTCCGTTTTAAATTCAGTCTTGTCTTTCCCCATCATGCCTCTCACTTCCAGTCTGGGCTTCTAGGAGGAGGGCCCCTGCTTCTCCTTCCCTCTGCCTCCTCCAGTCATTGCCTCAAATGGAAACTCTTTCCTCCTTCTGCAGAAACCAAGTCTCAGGAAGGGGTGTATCCATCATCAGTATAGCCAGACATGCTCTCCTACAGGACACCCTGAGGCTGGGCCCAGAAGTAGGTGCCCCAGCCTGTAGGACTGCCTTCTCAGGAGGACCAGGGTCTCCTCAATGCTCTTGACTTGTATGTGGGGGGCGATAGGCAGATGTCTGGTGCTCTTTAAGCTCAAAGGCATCATGGCCTTCCCTGTAGAACAAAGGGATGCAGGTCAGAGATGCCAGGCAACCCTCAAACTCTCCCACAGAACATTCTACTTGTACCCACCGGAAGCAGCGGGCACAGAAGAGGTCTCCATCACAGCCAGCACAGCGCAGGGTGGCATCCTCATTGCAGATGCAGCACCAGGGAAGCTCCTCTTCCTCAGCCTCAGGCCTAGGGGCCTTTAGGGACCAGAGAGAAATGGAAGAAGCAAGGTATCTGATGGGGTGTGGGAGGCTGCTATGGAACAGTCAGCCAGGCAGGCAGCAAGGCTGTGGACAACCTGGGGTCTGTATTTGGGGCTTTTCTTACCTCAGGCTCTGCCCTGCAGGGTTGGGCCTGGTGTCGGGAAGCTGGCTCTGCAGGGATGTTAAAGCCACTTGCCTCATCCAGGGCAGCTTCTTCAGTGAGCTGTGGACAGGGCGAAGAGGTACCACTCCCTGCTCCAGAACCCCCTCTCCCAGCATTTCTGAGTTCCTGGCCTTAGTGTCTCAACTCATCTTCCTTTACCTGTAGCCTATGGTTCCCATCTCAAGGGACAAGGCACAGGTCTGGATCACAGGGACAGGAGGGCCTCAATGAGAACAGGACTGCAGAGTGAATGCCCATTCAGCCCCAGGGACGAGTCAGGGTGAACGGGGCCAGGTGGGAGGCAGGACCATAAGGCAGAGACAGGATAAGGAGTGGTCAGGTGGGTAAGTGAGGGCTCACCTGCTGCAGGACTCTCTGGATGGCTATCTCCTCGTCCTCGTCATCATCGCTGTCTGGGAGGTGATAGTCCTGGAGCGTCACTTGAAGAGGAAGAGACAGAAACAGCAGAGGGAGGGTGGAGTGAGGGTGAGAGATTTCACCTGAGTGGCTGTCCTTTTGCTTCCCAGAACTGATTTGGTTCCCAGGGGTACTTGTTTCAGAGCTGAGAAGTCTCTTCAGCCACTCAGATGAGACCTTGGCCCTCCCTGCTCCAGCCTTGCAGGGCTGGGCTATCACTGAAGCAGCCCTGGGGGATGGGGACCAAGAATAGAAGCCTCAGCACCTGGACTGACTAAAGGTCCCCTTGGCTCCTGATGTCTGCCATTGATTTCTCATCTACTGCTTTGCCCAGAACCTTCCTTGTGGCTCTGGGCAAGGCTCAACAGATCTCTGGTCACTGAAACCCCCAGTAACTGACTCAGCCTTGGCAGGAAGAGCCTGGGGGCGGGAGAAGCCTTGATCGCTGGACATGAGTGAGTAGCTACTCCCTAGCCTTTACCTCTCTCTGGGTCCTGTCCCCGCAGCACAGCCAGTCGCTTGGCAACGGCCAGGATCTGCTCCTGCCTCGTGTTCTCTTCCCGCAGCTGGACTGCAGCCTCAGCCAGCAGTCTGCTTTTCTCCTCCTCCAGGGACCAGCTAGCCTGCCTCTTGGAATTGGTGCTCTGGCTCCCTGAGCCACCCTGGTTGAGGTCATTCTGGAGAGAGGCAGCTGGAAGGAGTAATGCAGTCAGGGAGACAGAGACATTCTAATCCTCAGAAGCCACTGAGGCTATTTCTCAACACCTTTTTCTAACCACAGATCATTAGCTCTTTGCTTAGCACTAGCACTTATGGCTTACATTACAAACAAAATCCATATTGCCTCCATTTTTCTAAATGTAAAAAACTAGTAATGTCAGTCATATCTTTTTCTTTTTCTGAGTTGGAGTCTCACTCTGTTGCCCGGGCTGGAGTGCAGTGATACGCTCAGGGCCACCACAACCTCAACCTGCTGAGCTCAGGCAATTCTTCCACCTCAGCCTTCCAAGTAGCTGGAACTACAGGAGTGCACTTACCATGCCTGGCTTATTTATTTATTTTATTTATTGTAAAGACAAGGTCTCACCAAGTTGCCCAGGCTGGTCTTGAACCCTTGGACTCAGGCAATCCTCTTGCCTTGATCTCTCAAAGTGCTGAGATTACAGGTTTGAGCCACTGCGCTCAGCCAGTCATGTCTTTTTCAATCACATCCATCCTCATCCACCTGATATTTTAATATACTGCCCTTAGGGTGGGTGTCCCATGGTTTGAGGATCACTGTACCGAAGGATCAGGATATGAGGAGAGCAAGGTTCAGCCAGTCTCTTTGCCTTTCAGAGCTGGAATTAGCACCTCCTGGGAATAGCACAGAGAGGGTATGAAGCAAGCTGAGGTCCTGTGTATCACTGGGCAGGAAGAATTTTACCAGAGTGGGTGTGGCTCTGACAAGGTCACCTTCAGTTCAGAGTGTCAGAGCAAGAGGTTTAAAATCACAGCTTTGGGCTGGGTGTGGTGGCTCACGTTTGTAATCCCAGCACTTCTGGAGAGGGAGACTGGAGACTGTTTGAGCACAGGAGTTTAAGACCAGCCTAGGCAACAGAGTGAGACAGCGTGTCTACAAAAAAAATAAAAGAATCTATCTGGGCATGGTGGCGTACACCTGTAGTCCCAGCTCTACTTGGGAGGCTGAGGTGGAAGAATCGCCTAAGCCCAGGAGTTTGAGGCTGCAGTGAGGTGTGATCATGCTACTGCACTCCATCCTGGGCAACTGAGTAAGATCCAGACTCAAAAAATAAATAAGTAAATAATCAAATTACAGCTTTACTTTGAGAGGCTGAGGTGAGTGGATTGCCTGAGCCCGCAGGTTCGAGACCCGCCTGGGCAGTGAGACCTCATCTCTACTATAAATCAAAAAATCAGCCGGGCATGGTAGCACATGCCTGTAATTCTGGCTACTCGGAAGGCTGAGGCGGAAGGATCGCCGGAGCCCAGCAGGCGAGGTGGTGACCGGAAGCGGCCACTGCACTCCAGTATGGGCGACCGAGTGAGACTCCAACTCAAAAAAAAAAAAAAAATTACAGCTTTAAAAACATCAATCAAATCAAATCACAGCTTTAGGTTTAAGTCCCAGCTTTGCCACTTAATAGCTGTGTGACTGGTCAAGTTCCTTAAGCTCACTAAGTCCCAGTTTCCTCATTTATAAGTAAGAACAACAGTATACACTTTATACGATTGTTGAGGATATTCAATGAGATTGTGCCTCTAGAGTTTCTCATTCTTAGTTCTGCTGGCATTTTGCACTGGATAATTCTTTGTTGTAGGGGGCTGCCCTGTGCATTACAGGATGTTTAGTAGCATCTCTGACTTCTATCCCCTAGATGCTAGTAGTACCCCGAGTACAACTAAAGTGTCTTCAGACATTGCCAGAAGTGTGTGGTCCAGGGGACAAAAATCATCCCTTGTTGAAAAATATTTCTCTGGCCGGGCACAGTGGCTCACACCTATAATCCCAGCACTTTGGGAGGCTGAGGTGAGAGGACTGCCTGAGCCCATGGGCTTTAGACTAGCCTGGGCAACTTGGCAAGACCTCATCTCTACAATAAATCAAAAAATTAGCTGGGCGTGGTGGCACATGCCGTAGTTCTAGCTACTTGGAAGACTGAGGCAGAAGGATCACCTGAGCCTAGCAGTTGGAGGCTGTGGTGGCTGTGAGCATGCCACTGCACTCCAGCCTAGGCAACAGAGTGAGACTCCAAAAGAAAAAAAAAAAAAAAGAAAACCAGTGCTCTGAAGCCTTCTAATAGAATTTTCTATGATAACAGAAACATTCCATATCATGTTCTGTATCCATGCTGTCCAAAGCCATGAGCCCATGTGGCTACTGAGCACTTGAAATGTGACTGGCATCAATAAAAATTTATTTTTTTTTTGAGAAAGCAGGATTTATTGAGAAGACAGAAAAGCTCCCACAGTGGGAGGGGGCCCAAGGGGGTTGCCCAGCAATTTAATTTTAATTAAATTGAAATAGCTTTGGCCAGACTCGGTGGCTCAGTCTGTAATCCCGTGCTTTGGGAGGCCAAGGTGAGTGAATTGCCTAAGCCTGTGGGTTCGAGACCCACCTGGGTGACTTGGTGAGACCTCATCTCTACAATAAATTAAAAAAAAAAAATTAGCCAGGCGTGGTAGCGCGCACCTGTAGTTCCAGCTACTTGGAAGGCTGAGGTGGAAGGACTGCCGGAGCCCAGCAGGTCGAGGCTGCGGTGGTTGGGTGACAGAGTGAGACTCCGACTCAAAAAAAGAAAAAGAAAAAAAAAGAAATAGCTTCTTCTTCTTCCTTACCACTGTCGTCATCATCGTCACAGAGAATGTTCACTGAGCCCTTACTATGAACCAGGCATAGTCCCAAGCACTCATTGAATTATCTCATTTATTCCTCATGACTTCCTCATGAGGTAGTTTGACCACACATACCTCCACTTTACAGATAACGAAAGTAAGACTTAGATCAAGTAACCTGCAGGGTGACACAGCTAATATGTGGTAGAACTGAGAATCATGGTCTAATTCTAAAGCCCACACACTTATGCACTAGGCTTACAATGACTCCCTTTGGAATAAGCGCTCTATCAATGGTAACTCTTCTAATGTTGATCACTCTCTGATTTATACTCATCTCCCAGAGAGTGGACAGCAGAACCTCTCCCATCTGGAGAAAGAGGCGGGGAAGGTCCCCAGGGGAGGCAGGGGAGAGGTTACCTGGGCTTCTTTGTTTCCAGCTTTCATCAATAGCCACCTCGGCTGTCAGCTGTGTTAGCAGATCCTGTGTCTGCTGGGCCTGGGTCCTGGTGTCTGGTGTCTGATATGCCTGCCCAAAGGAGAAAACCACAATGGGGAGCAGGGATAGCTCAGAAGCAGGCTAGGTCAGGGGTAGATGCTGAGGAGTTTTCAACGCCCAGGGAAAGGGGACATATTCAGGGCCCACATAATCAAGTAGGTCTGGCAGTCCCCAAAAGGACTGAGGGCCCATTCTTTCTCACCCTACCCAATCCTACTGCTTATCCCTGGTTCCTTGGCCTGGCAGCAGGCCTGAGGATCAGGAGAAAGGGGTGGGAGGCTTTGCCAACTCTTGCAAAGTATATAGAGTACAAAGTACGAAGTACATCGATCTTGGCTTCTGCCAGGTCCTGGCCCTGGGACCCCCTTCCCTCCTAAGTCATTGCACTCACCGGCTGGGGGGTCTGAGAAGGCAGAACTCTGCCCTGCAAGGCGGCAAGCCGTACCTCCATCTCCTGGGTGGAAGGGATGGAACCCTGGGGTTCATCCTTTAGTGCAGCCAGCCGTGTCTCTATCTCTGCCTGTGAGGGCATTAACTCTGCAATTGGCATTGGGGGAGCTCTGTAAGGGTCAGAGGACTCTCAGTCCCAGAAGCCCTGGACTGTGTCTTTTAGGCCTCCGTGATTGCCCCCACTCACTAGGCATGCTCTCCTGGCGGAGTCGTGCTAGGCGCTCAGCGATGATCTGATCTTGCTGGGTCAGTCCCTGGCTCAGGGGAGTATTGGGCTTCTGTCTGGCTTCCAAAGCTGCCACACGCCTGGCAGGATATGAGATAGAGGCTCTTGAAGAAGGCAGAGGGGAGGAGTGAAGGCACCCACTCACTGTTTCCCATTCAGATCATTTCTAGGCACCTTGGGAGGCTTCCAATGGGCGATCTTCTGTGCCCTCGCTCATGTCACCCTTCAGGCCAACCCAGCTGACCAGTCAGAGAGTCTGGCTGAGAGAGCAAGTTCTACCAAGTGTCTTTTCTGGGGAGGGACTGATGAGCTGCTTGATGAGTCCAAGATGGCAGTCAGGAACCTGACAGGTGGGTATTCTCCCGACTCTGTGGCTCATCTGATCCACAGGCTAGGAGGAGAGTCCTACCTTATGGTCCCCTTGTCCTTTCCCATACCCATGTCTTTTACTCAGCAGCACTTACTTCTTATAGTTCTGGGGTGGTGACCACCTGGAGGCATTTGCAGGAGCAGACCCTCTACAGAGAAGAAATCTAGTGTCAGAAGTCCGGCCATTCTGGCCAGTCAGTGTCCCCCACCCCGGACACTTCCTAGGCTGATTCTAGCCACACTGGTCAGACACCCACTGCCATGCTCAGCTGAACTTTCACCCAAACCCACCTCTCACCTGATCAGGACCTCGTGGCATTGCTTGCAGACTTTCTGTTGGGTGTTCCCAGTCCGAGGCACTACTGCACTGAAGTTAAGGCAGCCGGAACAGAAGGCCCGGCCACAATTCTTACAGCCGTACTATAAGAAACATGAAGCAGGGGGATCCACCTCTCACCCACCCCTGCGGGCTGCTCCCAGGGACTCTCCAAGCACACACAGAGAAAAGGCATTGAAGTTGTGACCAGCTGCTGGGAGGAGGAAGAGGAATGAGGCCCCTAAGGCCTAAGGAGAGATAGAGTGGAAGGTAAAGCAATTACTTGGCTTCCAGTCCCTTATTTATTGTTCTTTCTTTTTTTTTCTTTTTGAGACAGAGTCTGGCTCTGTCACTCAGGCTGGAGTGTGATGGTACAATTATAGCTCACTGCAGCTTCAATTTCCCTAGGCTCAAGCAATCTTCCCACCTCAGCCTTCTGAGTAGCTAGGATTACATGCATGCGCTACCACACCTGGCTAATTTTTTCATTTTTTACAGAGGTGGGGGTCTCACTAGGTTGCCCAGGCTGGTCTCAAACTCCTGGCTTCAAGTGATCTTCCCATCTTGGCCTTCCAAAGTGTTAGGATTACAGGTGTGAGCCACCACGCCCAGTCTCACCTTTTCTTTTTTTTTTTAAAGAATCAGTGGGTACTTGTGAAGATTTGTTACATACGTATATTGTGTGATGGCGAGGTTTAGGCTTCTGATGAGCACCCCCCAATCTCTTATCTAAATAAAATTCTATGCAAAATTCCTATGCTTTCTAGTCTGTCTTCAATTCCCTGCACCTGCACAAGAGTGTGGAAGACAGATAGACACCCCTTGCTTCAGTTCACTGAATCTTCAACAAAGAAGAATCAGAGTGCAGAGCCCATGCCTTCTCTATTCTAGAGGCTTGGCTCAAGTTGGGATGATAACAATAGCCTCCATTTACTTGGCACTTACTGTGTGCCAGGCACTAAACTCAGTACTTAACATTCATCATCTGATTTAATTCCCACAACTTACACACATTATTATTATTATTTAATAATAATGAGTGAGTTGGATTCTCACTCTGTCGCCCAGGCTGGAGTGCACTGGCATGCTCACGGCCACCGCAGCCTCAGCCTGCTGGGCTCAGGTGATTCTTCCACCTCAGCCTTCCGAGTAGCTGGAACTACAGGCAAGCACCGCCATGCCTGGCTATTTTTTTTTTTTTTAATTGTAGAGATGAGGTCTCACCAAGTTGTCCAGACTGGTCTTGAACCGGTGGGCTCAGGCAATCCTCTCACCTCGGCCTTCCAAAGTGTCGAGATTATAGGCGTGAGCCACTGTGCCCGGCCATTACAAACATTATTTTACCTAATCCTTATGCCTATCATTATGATCCCTATTTAGAAGGAGCCAGAGAATTTTATAACTTGCCCAAACCAAGGTAACAGTGTCAATAAGATAGCGGAGGTCAAATATGAATGCTGACTCCAAAATTCAGGTGGTTAAGTGCTACATGATCCTGACTCCCTACGTGCCATTAACTCATCATCTCCTGGTCAGTTGTCCTGGCTATAATTGAGAAGGGGGAGCCTGTAGTTTACCAAGGAACTTGGCAGATATGTGCTGAGGACAAGAGAGTCTTTGCCATGGAGCCCTGGGGGCAGAGGAAATGTGGTAATCTAACTCAAGAGACCTGGGGAAGGCAGTTTGCAGGATGCAGAAGGCTTCAGAGCAAAGAGAGTAATGGGCTCGATGTGATGTACACCAAACTGCGGAGGAGCAGGGTGGAGAGAAGGAAACAGCCAGAGGCTACACTTAGCCAACAGAAAAGCGTAGCTTTCCAAGAACGACGACGGCGCGCTTTACAGTTTATAAGGAACTCTCACCTCCACCACCTCTGCAGACCCTGACATCGGCCCCGAAAGCAAGGGAGTGTTAGATCCATTTTGCAGAAATGGAAACCGAGGCTCAATGACTTCATCAAAACCACACAGCTGGAAAGAGGCCGTAAGACCAAGTCTTGGCACCGCAAGTCCCGCGCTTTTCCCTCTACTCCGCGTCCTCCCCGGCCCTCTAGCCCGCGGGGGGAGAAGACTCGCCTCTTTCTTGAAGAGGGTGAACTTGACAGCGCAGCCGTAGCACCGGCTCTCCATCGCGGCTCCCAGTGCGGCAGGGTCGGCAGAGGTGAGATCACGCCGGCCAGGTCCAGGACTAGTGGGACCCTCACCCAACCCCGCCCTGACCCACACGCCCACTCGCGCGGTCAGGCTGCGCGACCTACGGGCGGAATCCGAAAGCGTGGCCCGCCCCCGGTCCGAGAGCTGCGGCGGCGGAAGCGGGGGCTGCTGGGAGTCGTAGTTCATTCACGACCGCCCGTCTCCCTCAGAGTCGGTCAAACCCGGCCTAGCGCACGACAGTTCCCAGGGGGCTAAAGCGCCCCTCGGAGCCGGCAGTTCCCACGTACGCGCAGACACTTGGGAGTTGTAGTACAGATCCAGTCAGGGCTGGAACCATGGCGGTGACCAAGGAGCTCTTACAGATGGACCTGTACGCCCTGCTAGGTATTGAGGAGGAAGCGGCGGACAAAGAGGTAAGAACGGTGGCGAGGAAGGCTGATCCCGAGAGGCCTGGCCGCCCTTCCTGTCCTGGCGCCCAGCCCGCGGCTGGCATCCGCTCTTCAGGTTCGGTCGGGCCCTGGGCGGGGAGCGAGGGTCGGCCCCATGGCCTCAGCAGGCGGGCCCCCAGACATTTCCTGGACGGTCTGAGGGCCTCACGAGGAAGCGGGGCACAAAAGGCTCGTCGTCTGGCGGAGGCCGCAGGAGGATCCTGTGAAGAAACGCTAGCCTCTTCTGCGCCTGCGCAGTCTTAGACTCGGGTTCCCCTGGTCTTGACTGTGGCGAGGGGCGCATGGGCTCAGCCTCTCCAGCAGGCTGATTTAACGCCCCACTTCGAGCCCAGGGTGGAAGAAAGGTCAGATCTCAAGGCACATCAACTCCCTCTTCATGCTTACTATGTGCTGGACACTATTCTAGGTGCTCTACTTTTGTAAATTGTTAAATTAGTACTTTATTAATAGAAACTATTTGGGACGTTTCACATCCGATCCTGCCAGTGGGAAATCTGGAGTTTGGAACTCTGAAGTTGAGAACTCCTGAGGAAGGCAATTGGGAGCCATTGATGTATGTGTTAATTAGAGAAGTGACATACTCGGGTTTTAGTGTTTTTTTATTATTTTGAGTTGGAGTCTTACTCTGTTGCCTAGGGTGGAGTGCAGTGGCAAGCTCCTGGCTACCGTAGCCTCCACCTGCTGAACTCAGGCGATCCTTCCACCTCAACCTTCCAAGTAGCCGGAACTACAGGCGCGTGCTACAACGCCTGGCTAATTTTTAAAATTTATTTGTTGTCGAGACGAGGTCTCACCATGTTGCCCAGGCTGATCTCGAACCCCGGGGACTCAGACAATCCTCTCACCTCGGCCTCCCAAAGTGCTGGGATTATAGGCTTGAGCCACCGCACCCAGCCTACATACTCGAATTTTAAAGAAAATATTCCATCCACATCACTGTGCAGAATGGACATGGGTAGGGGTATGGAGGAGCTACCGCTTGGCGGTCACTTGGGACTGGTGTCTAGACAGAAGTCTGAATGGGCAGTGGTGGCTGAAATCCAGTTCTCACTCAGGTGAGATAAGGGATATGTGTGAAGGCCTTATAGGGTAATGGGTACTGTTCCTGCCTGTTAGTAGGGAAGGCGAGATTCACGCAAAACTATAATACTAGGAAGACATGGTAAGTTCCTGAAGAGGGACACAAACAGAGTGTTGTGAATGTTTAGGGTAGGCTGAAAAAAGGGGTAGAGGAAATAGAAAAAGCATTTGAGGCCTTGAAGAATGGACAGAGTTTGGACATGTAGATATGGAAGAAGGACATTTTGAGAAAGGCAAGTATATAGTCCAATTTATCTGGAGTTAAGGTAAGAATAAAAAGTAAAGGAAAGCTGGGCTTGGTGGCTCAGCCTGTAATCCCTTGCTTGGGGAGGCTGAGGTGAGTGGATTGCCTGAGCCCGTGGGTTCGAGACCCGCCTGGGCAACTTGGTGAGACCTCATCTCTACAATAAATCAAAAATTAGCTGGGCGTGGTAGCACGCGCCTGTAGTTCCAGCTACTTGGAAGGCTGAGGCGGAAGGATCGCCGGAGCCCAGCAGGTCGAGGCTGCGGTGGCTGGGAGCCGCCACTGCACTCCAGTCTGGGTGACAGAG